TCTCTTTCTTTCTTTCTCTTTCTTTCTTTCTTTCTTTCTCTCCTTCCTTCCTTCCTTCCTTTCTTTCTTTCCTCTTTCTTTCTTTCTTTCTTTCCTTTTTTTTCCTCAGTGCTGGGTATTGAACTCAGGACCATGTACATGCTGGGAAAAGGCTCTACCACTGAGCCACACCCATAGTTTGCCTTTATTCAGTTAGTGTCTTATTATGTAAATATATATTTTAACTCCAGGATCCCCAAACCTCCACGAAGCCTTAGCAGTAGATTCTACCTATTCCTTATACCTTAGACCTCATTAGGTCTTTCTCTCAGAGCAGATTTTGAAAGGTGGAAGAGAAACAAAGAACTTCTGATGTTATCGGAGACACATATGTATCATAAATGGGATGGTGGAAGAAAATCTAGAGAGAGGAAGGGAGAAGTTAAATTTCCGGTCTCCACAGGTCTCCAGTTTTCAGAGGAAGATGCTCACTGGGGACGTGGGATGGTGATGAGACGCTTACCAAGTGAATGAATCCTGCCGCAGTGAACCAGGTACTGAGAAATATCGATAACAGTTTGGAAAACTTCACCGAATTACTACAGGAAGAAACAAAAAAAGCACTGTTGGATATCCTCAAGCAGGTTCCACAACTACAGACACCTCATCCTCTAAGATCTTCCCGCCTTGCTTCCCAAAGCAGGGTTTCATGGACTGGAAGTGATGTTTCCTAGGAGATTATGAGAAAGGGGATTCCTGTCCTCGCCCTCACCTGCCGGTCTGCAATGTGATAGGGTCCTCTGCCTGATTTTTACAGGCTTTAGCCTCTGAGACACACAGCTCTAAAACTCGGCTGGTCATACATACTTCTTCGAAAATTGTAGATTTTGCTGTGACATTCACTAGCCTGGTATGACATCGCTTTAAAATTATACAATATGTAGGTCAACATAAGATAAATTTAATGAGCCATTATGTTGTCTAAGGTAATTATACAAACTGCACTGTGCCAGGAGTCTAGGGAGTAGCTTGTAAAATGGAATGCTGAGTAGCTCACAGAAATGTAGAGTTACTCAGATTGCTGACCTCATAACAGGGGTTTAAGGGTTTGAAAAGATCAGAAGTGCTTTTGTCATCAAAAGAAAGCCCTAGAGTTTAGCTAACATCTTTGCGGCTTTCAGGCAAGGCCACTTCTCAAGCCAGAATGACCTCTTCTACCCCAATTTCTCCATGATGCACAAACACTAGGCAGTGAAATCCATCTGGTGATATTTGATACTTCTAATGAAAATGCAGAAGTGTAAAGAGTTTGAGTGGCTAACAGAATAAACTGTTTGGAACTTTGGAGGTACTGGTGCTTAGAAGTGGTTTGGAGCTTTGCTGTTTCCTTTTGGAGAAACTGAAGTGACCTTTTTTTTTGGCTAGAGATGAACTGAGCACCTTCCACCTGCTAGACTCTACCACTGAGCTACACCTTTAGCCTAAGGCTCGATTTGTGTACTGGGCACTTCTCGTGCTCAAAGGAATTGTGTTACACTCTCAAACCTGAAGACAAATGTCTTACTAGCCAGGAGAGACACAATGATAAAAACAAATGTGAAGAAACAAAGCTTCTGAATTGGCTGATTGATTTGAGGTATGTATGTACGTATGTATATATGTACATACATATTGGTAGAGGGACCTAGAGTTAAAACCCAAATGGACTTACACTCTGTGGCTTTATAAAACAAAGATAAACAATGTGTCTGAAATGATTTAAAGATTTTGACCTAGTGTGCAAAGTAATATGTAGGGAAAAATAAATGAGAGCATCGGGGACACTGAGGGATTTTTCAATTGTAGCAAGGAAATTCTGATGAGGCATGAGTGAAATTTGGATCTAGATAACATTTTCATTTCTTAATCTGAACTACTAAGTAAGCAGAAAAAGCTGGCACTTACCTGGTCTTGATGGCTTGTAGAATTTGCAGTATTTGAGGGAGTTCTAGAAGCCGCAAAGCTCTTAGGAACCTTAAACCTATAGAGCAATCAAAAGGAGAGAGCTGCCAAATGTGAAGGGTCACTCCCAAGAACGGCCTGAATTACAACACAGTTCAGGTCTCAGACATTCATTTTCCCCTGAGTGTTCTAATCTAGTATGTTTAATGGTATAAGTTTAAGTACATGAACTGAAGTTCAAATCCTGGCCTTAACTGTTACTAGCTATTGCCACCTAAGGCAATAATACCCTTACTTCTACAGGTCATCATCTGTGAAATAAGAATTATAATCATACCTTAAACAATTGTAGTGTTAATCTAAAGCATGTTGAAGCATGCCTTGGCTATAATAAGAACTATTGTCTGCTCTATCCAATTCTTCTTTAGAATTTAAAGAAAATTTTCCATGAACCACCTAAACTCCTGATTATCCAATTTCTATGATACGTTGTTCTGCAATGTTTATTTATTTTGTGATTAATAATAGAAATAGAACTGCTATGTACTTCATAGACAAAAGTAAAAATATAAAATTACAGCAAAATATTCAAAGCTAGTGTTACGGTTTGGCTCTGGAATGTCCTCCAGAATGCTCATGCATGTGGAAGGGACTGGATCGGGAGTGCTATGCTCATCAGTTGATTCCTGCTCTCATGAGTTCAGCACACTCCAGTGAGTGTGCGGGAAGGAGGTGGGTCCTGATTACAAGCCATTGCTGGGATGTGACCTGGAAGTGTGTATCTCCCTCCTTGATTCCTTCCTTCACCCTCTGCTTCCTGTCACCATGACTTGAGCAGGTTTCCTTTGCAGATACTTTCACCATGCCCTTCCTGCCTTGGGGCCATCCAACTGTAGTCTGACTCCTCTAAATACCATGAGCTGAAATAAACCTGTCCTTCTTGAAGCTGCGGGTGTTGGGTATTATGCTCTGATGACAAGCACATGACTAGGACAGTTACCCAGTGCCAGCACACTGTCCACACATCCACCTAAAATACAGAACAACTGAACACCTTTCTAACACATCTGAGCATGTGTAGATATGATGATCTGCTTTTTTAAAAGGAGAAAACTTTCATCCCAGCCCATGTGGGATCCCAACATAAAGGTGCTGTAGGGATAGGTTACTGAGCTGCACCTCCCAGATAGTTGGTGCAGCCTTTCCATGAACAACTGCGGAACACCTACCATGTGCCAGGTGCAGTTTCTGGTGTTGAGGTCAAAAAATGGTTTCTGATATAGTAAAAAAAAGATAGCCAAAGGGAGAGGTTTTTTAAAGTGACAGCCAGACACTAAGAAAAAATGAAGAATACTTATAAATGCATGTTGAGGGTTTTACATTTTGTTTTATATATTGCTACAGATTTTACACACACACTTACCTAGCCAATTACTCTTCAAGTAGTAAGAAATAAATGTTGGGGGAATGGTAAAAATGTCTACAAGAGAATTCATCTCCAGCCAGAACTTGATCTTGTCATCAGCTGCCAAAAACTATAAAAATGAAAACAGAACACTGAAAATTCTGCTACCCTCAAAAATTTCAAAGTGAACACAATGATGGCATTTTTTAAAGCTACATTTCATTCATCACCTCAAGTTTTGCTATTAGTCTATTTTATGCATATGCAAAACTCATGTAATCCTGTAAATATATACAAATATTGTATCTTTAATGAGTGTTCAATTAATACTGTATACTAACTCTCTCCCTTCAGAATAAACACTTTTGACTTTTCTGTTCTTAGAACAGATATGTGTGTGTATATATGTAGTTATATCTTATTTGTGAGCAATGAAGGTATATGATTTAAGATGATCTCCAATGAAAAAGGTACAGCTCTCTAAAAGATTGCTGATCATGATCTGTGTTTATGAGTTTCCCTGCTTAGATTAAGAAAACCAGATTTCCAGGAAGGAGAGTCTGCTCCTATAAAAAGAATTTGATGGTCAGTGTAGTAGGATGAATTTTAAAGGAAGATCACAGAACTACATACCATACATGTGCACATACATGTGTATACATATATGTATATGAGATGTATATGAGATATGCCCCTCTCTATAAAATATAAGTAGACATATAGATATATGGATACAAATAGCCTCCCACAAGCATGGAATGGATTAATACACTAAAATATAGATCTAAAATAAGGACTTACTAAATGTCATTGGAATAAGAGAGTTCATTAATAGATGAAAAGTGAAGCAAAAATACAAAAATATTTTGTACAGTTAAGATGCTACATATGCCATTAGTAGAACCTGTGACATCTTCAGAGACTTGCCATTCTAGATCTACTACCTTGGGATTACTAGTAAAGCTTCCTTTGTGGTAGTCAGTAAGTCAATAATGAAGTTATTGTGTATTTAAAAAAAGTAGGTTTTATTTGTGATGGCCTTGGTTTACAGCTTCCAGTGCGAGAGAGAGAGAGAGAGAGAGAGAGAGAGAGAGAGAGAGAGAGAGAGAGGAGTTTTCTTAACAACACACAGACTACCTTTTAAACCTGATAATTTAGGCAGATTGTGTAACTGAGGGACACACTGGTCTATATATTACTCCAGTTGGGTTTGCGTGTTTTCTTCCACTTTCCATAGGTACTTACTCTCAATCCAAAATAGAAACTAAAGAAAGCATTGAAAGTCAAATCAATGGAGATGGTTTTGTCTTCATATGAAGAACAACTTCCAACAGGGCTGGAAAAGAAATAAGCACAGTGTGTAAAGGTGAACGTTTAAATGCCATGTCTATAAAGGACAAATATAGGGAAAAAGTATGCAATTTTCTATTTATTCACTACCAATGGTCAATTCAGACACTTAAATTGAGAGCTGAAGGAAATTACCTTTCTCTTTGGAGTAGAGCTATGCATAAACAAAACCCTTGGACCACCCATGGGGCACAAAATAACAGAAAATTTCCCATCATCACTGTCCCATTTCAATTTTTTTCAGTGGGTATTTAGAGCTGTAGAGATTACATATTTCTCCTTGGTTTTCAAGTTCATCTATCCAGTCAGTATTTTAGCTTCTGTATCTTTTTGCTGTAGGTCAGATGGATTGATTTGACCAAATCAAAGAAAAATTCCTAAAAGATCTGTTAGGAGTTTACAAAGCAAAGACTGCCAGTTTCCTTAGGATATCTACAGTTACCTGAGCTACATTTTCACCCCTCCACTCCATGGTATGCTTCGTGTGTGTGTGTGTGTGTGTGTGTGTGTGTGTGTGTGTGAGACAGTCTCTCTGAATTGACCAGGTTGGCTTCGAATTTGTTATCGTCCTGCCTCAGCCTCTCTAGAAGCTGGCTTTATAAGAGTGTGCCACTGCACCTAATTTAGTTGCCTTGCTCTTGAGGCCCTGTAAATCCTAAGTTAATCTCAGCTGGAATTAATCAAATTCCTAAAGGATTGACATGGAGCTCACCTTAGACTGATTTCAGTCCAAAAGACTCCCCCAACACTGCACTGCAAGGAGGGAACGCTTTTGGAGGAAAGCAGAGAGCATTCTGCTCTGTTACCACAGGTGAGGTTTGGCTTTATCTATTCTCAAATCCATCCAGAGTTCTGGGAGGCTCATGAGAAGCTCTGATCAGAATACAGAAGTTCCCCTTCAATGCCTGAGGAACCTGAAAGCCTTCTGAAGCAGCCCTTGTGGAGCTGACAGCTGAAGACATGGAGCCTCAGAACCTTTGAGGTAAATCTTTTCACCCCAGCTGACTCCAGCAAGGCAGGCTGGCAGGGTGCAGGGGAAACACATGCATTTCTCCAGAACTTGGTTTAGTGCCTGGTGGGGCAACTAAACGCTTACACTTTCGCAAGCCTGCACATGTGTACATGTGTTGCTGGATATATATTACACAATACCCTGAGGAGAAAATTTCAGAGTAGCTTGGTAAGTTACTGATATAGCAGACAAAAATGATTGAGGACTTTACTCACTCAGAAGAATTGACGAAATAGATTATAAGAGACCCAATGCTTAGAACAAAGACAAGGATCACCTGAAAACAAACGAAAACAGGAATGAATGTGCAAACCCATTCTATTGTTATGGAAAATAAATAAAAACCAACAAAACTGTTTCTCTTTTTAAAATAAATTGAAATATATTTTATCATGAATATTTATTTTTACAGAAAGGGGAAGGGAAAAATGTATTTTCTATTTTTACTTTGTCTACATATGAGTAGACATTTATTCACACATTAATTTATGCTAGCATTCATTCATCTGTTCCAGAAAAATGAATTGGAGCTTCCACTCAATGAACATGTACCTGCTTTACTTACCTAATTTTCAATTTCATGTACTTCAGAATAAACAGTTTCTCCTGGCTGCTACTCCTAGGGCTTACTGACCATTATTATGTGATTAACATATGTTGTGCATTTTATTGCATGCTGGAAAATGGGTGCTATTGGTTTGAACTGCCTTGATAGAAGAAACAGTTACAAGTATGTCAACCCCCATGAACAGTCTGAACGTTGCAGTGGGGAAAGGGTTGCAAATGAGGAGCAAATGAGTGCGAGTGCTTTTAACATATGAGTGAGTCCAGTCTAAGAAATGAGTTGTGTAATAACCAGGAAACTGTCCATTCAATGTCCTCAAATTTTTGGATGAACTCTGACAGCTTCCATGATATTTTTCAAGTCAAGTATGGGAACTCAAACATTTCTTCACTTATTTCTAGTTTCCAAACCATCTAGCGTTTTACTATGTTCAGTTCAATACAATTCCAATGAGAACACTAGGAATCTTATTTGTAAATGAAGTTCCACTTCCTTCCAGTTTAGATGTTCCTTGACTATGCAGTTTATACTGGAGGAGGAGTCAGATTTTTTTCTATTAATTTTTTGGGGGGTTTTATTCATAGTTTCCCACTGCCTAGCTTGCTTCTGTCCTCTCCAGAACTGTAGGCCAGTGTGAGAAATGAAAAAAGGGGAGGTTGTGGCAGGAAGAATGTCCAATGTTTACTTTCATAAGAGGTCTTACTGCTCTCTGTAGGTGTCACTTCAACTCCTATTCTAGTCCAATGAATATTTGTTTAGCTCCTCTCATGACCCAGGTAGAATTCTGCTCATCAGTGCAAGAGTCTTGTTCTCATGGAGCTAAGAGTCTTCATGATAAAGATAATTAATATGCTAATATATGATATGTTAGAAAATAAATGCTAAGAAATAAAATGGGATGAAAGTCAAGGAGATCAGAAATGCAAGCAGAAGGAGCAGAGCAGTTTCAATCTTGATAATGCTTAATAGCTAAGAGTCCCATTTGCGGTTCTTTTGATTTGGGTGACACATACTGCATTTGGCCTTACTGGTTGCCCACAACTCTTCTCAGTACTCCTTTTACTGCTATTCTCTGCCGCAGGCTTTCCCCACCCAGGTACCTACTTAATCAGGTGACATCAGGGTCACTCCTGTGGCCCGTAAGTAGCCCATGGAAACACCCAAACATTCTTTGGCTCAACAAACATCCTAAAGACAGATTATCTCAGAGACTCCCACACCTCTGCAACAGCATACCTTGTTTAAAAGTTCTTCTTTAATTTCAACTCTTTCTAATTTACACACAACTATGTAAGATGCCAAGAGCATCCACTCATAATTTTCCCCCCACTTGTTTGCAGGTTGAAATGTTGTAGTTCATTCAAAACAGGAGAAGTATCTGCATCTATTTTCTTGGAATCTGAATTCTTATCATGAGTTCCATTTTAGTATTTACATAAGTGGTGTTTGAGCTAATACTAAGTTTGAGTATCTTGTGCAGATATTCAGTTAGAAATACAGTCTGAAGTTCAGAAAAGCTACTTGGAGTGGAGATATATCCACATATAAGTAATATCAACATATTGATAATCATTAGTACTTTTCATGAAATCATTTTCTTATCTTTACAGATGAGTATAATTTTTCCTCTCTTAGTAAATTTCATAAGAGACTCAAATATAGAATTCTGGAAAGATGGTGGCAGGGCCACCAGCAAACCACAAATATGACAAAAAAAGTAAATATATAAAAGAAGAAAAAAATTAGTTTTATTGACTCTCGACCTCAAGCCACAAACTCAAAGAAAGTTACCAAGGAATAATACAAAACAGACAGTACACTGTACACGAAACCACAAGAAGACCTTGGTCACTACCCTCCTATAGAGGCTGATCAGTGAGTCAGGAGAAGTGTGAGGTAAGTCTGAAAGGGCCTAGAAGTGTCTCTTGGGTTAGAGGTGCAAAATCTGGAAGATCTAGCTATACAGGTGGGTAGAGAACCTGCTTCTGAGGCTTGGGGGCTGTGGATTGGAGATGGAGCCCACAGGCAGAGCCAGCTGGGGATAAACCCTCAGGCCACAGGAGGTCTTGGCTATGGAACACAGGAAAACACAGTATGAAGATTTGGAGTCCTGGCCCAAAACCCTCATTTTGAGTTGCTGATCACAGTATTAACATGTTTTTCTTTGTAGGGAAACACACAGGAAATTGCTTTTAAAAATCCCATTTTGTTAGTAGATAGCAGTAGGTATCTTCAGAAGAAATGACAAATGCAGTTGAAAAGGGACACTCTGAATACTCTAACTTTTATTTATGAATATCAGCAGACCATAGAAATTGCCAGTTCATGAGAAGTTCAAGACAATGTGAATTGCACGCAGAGAAAATACATTCAATGACTTGGCAGAAAAGAGTGAACACAAAATACATAGCAAATGGCTTTAAAATTACAATTAGTGTCCCTAGTGACATTTGGTATAACACTGTCAGGAGATAATGGAATTGACAACATTAAAATCTCATTGGAGTACTGAATAGCAGGAGGATGTTGGTGAAAGCAAAATGGAATAAATAAAGGAATTCTTCAATATCAAAAGGCAATAATAGAAATGAAAATTATGATTAACAGGGGCACAGAAATTTAAATGCAAGAGATACAATTAAAACTGGCATTCCAGAAAAATAAAAAAAATATTTTTTAAAGTGATACCTAAAGACAATGGGAAAAATAGATCCCTGAAGAGAAGACTAATCTTAGCTGTTGAAGAGGCCCGATAAGTGTTGTCAAGCAGGGAAAGAAGATACACATACAGGCACATCACAGTGACATTTCAGATTTGGAAAGATTTCCTACACAGGACACTTCTATATTAGAAAATACAAAACAACAGGTCATCAACAAAGGAAAGGGAATAAGAATGATTTCATGATTCTCAGTTATAATCAGTATTAGCCAAGATCCAGCAAAGAAAGCAGAAATAGCATCAATCATTTTAGGATGGGGTTTATTTCTAAAAGACTGCATAGGATTGGAGAATAGGAAAGAGGATATTGTAGTAGTGGTAACTGCAAAAAGTTGTGGCCAGCAACTGGGAAATCAACGAAAATGAAATATGAAAAGTGAGTAGAAGGTACCTTTTGGAGTTGGGATTTGGGCTAGGAGGAGAGGTAATGGACCTGTGAGGAGATGCTATGACCCTGTTTCTGGCACAGTGGGTAGAAAACCAAGAGCCAGAAAGGGAGTCAATTACTACTATTGTATTAAAATTGAATAGGGTAATCTGGGAAGAATAGGTACCAAACACAGAAAGACCAACTCCCTTCCTCCCTGGGCTTCCTGTCAGCTGATGTACCTAACTCCCATTGACACAGTCTAACTAGGAGCCAGCTGATAAATGATGCAATATATGTATTTGGAAGACAGTAGATAAGAGGAAGGAAACATGAGGAAGGGAGGGGTGAAGAGCCAAGGGCTAAAAATGATAAAATAGTCCACATATGTATATGGATTTGCCAAAATGGGATCCATCTATCTGTATAACTAATATTCACTGATAAAATTCTTTTTAAAAACCAAAGCAAAACGAAAATACAACACATTAGTTCTGGCCTGATATTACAAAGCAAAGAAGAGAGGGTGGATTGGAGCCTAGGAAATTGTTCAGGACCTGGTGTGTGGCCTTCAGTGCTAGAACACATTGAAATAACATTTATAAAGACTTTAGGAAAAAGAATGACAAATCAAGAATTCTAAACCCAAATAAATCATTGTTGACTTGTAAAAGTAAGCAAGAAACATTTTGGACATTCAAGGATTCAGAAAGTACACTGTCCACCTTGGTAAATAAATTCGAGAAATTCTCAAGAAAGAAAAAGAAGAAAGAAAAATTCAGAAACATGAAGTATGTAAGAAAAAAGGTTGCAGAATAAAATTAATAAAATTGGTGATTAATTTAACTTTTAAATTTACAAATATTAAGAAGGAATCTTACCAAATGTTATACATCTGCTACCTCTCCCCCAAGCTCAACCACCACCACCCAACACACAACCAACAGCAATCAGGAACTAATGTTCAAATTAGTTTAACTATGCCTGGAAGGAAGAGGGAGGATGTGTAGGAAAATCATACTCAAGGTATCATTTAAGAGAATACTGGGCCAGAGTTTTAGCTCAGTGGTGCTGCCTCCTTCTTCGCAAGCACAATGTCCCGAGTTCAATCCCCAGTACAAAAAAAGAGAGAATATAAATATAAAATATGCAGAGGCACAAAGAAATACAGAGAAAGAATGAATTTGATTTACCTGACTTTTATATTATTCTATTAAAATAGAATCATTGGCTTAAAAATAACGATAAATAAATAAAATTAATTAAAACCTGTAAACTAAAAATATAAATTTCAGCTAATTGTCAGTACTTGGTATGTCCTGAGTGTTTATATGTATTATACAATTCTCTCCAACATTCTAATAAGGCTATTACAATCTCCTTTATATTCATATTATATGAAAGAAATCCAATTTAGAAACTTATCTTACCCAGGAATATATATTTGTAATTGGAGGAGCTAATGTTTAAGTCCATATTTCTCAAAATCCACAATCACTCAGCCCCTCCAGTAGTATGAGAAATTAAAACTATGCCAAGGCTCTTGGCTGTGTATCCTATACCCCTTCTCCCTTTCTTTATTAACGGATCTTGTAGTTGTTTATTTAAGCTACTGATATTTAC